ACAAATCCATGGTGATGTCCGTTCTCCTATATGGCAGTGAAACGTGGACGATGTACCGGCGGGATGTGCGATATCTTGGGCGGTTCCATCAACAGTGTCTGCGACGGATTCTGTGCATTGTTTGATGCGACAGATTTGCAGACACAGAAGTGTTGCGCCGAAGTGCAATGTATGCAGTGGAGTGCATACTGTTGCTATTACACCTGAGGTGGCTCGGTCATGTGTGTCGCATGAAGTTGACGCGAATACTAAAGCAGCTATTATATTATCAACTGTGTTTGGGGAAGCTGTATTTGGGGAAACCAAAGTTACGTTGCCAGGACATGATCAAAGTGAGCCTCTCACTTTCTCATCTTAATTTGGGGGTCACGGGAATCGAAACCGGTTGATCGGCGTGCATGGCGCAATCTTATCTGGAAGGCCAAGGAAGATGTGCAAGAGAAAGCCCTCGTGCATGCAGAGAAAAAGCGGCATTTGCGGCAACGACAGGTGACGATGGGTTGGACCCTATCGACATTGAGCGCATTGCGCTGCAGCACATGCGGTCGCGAGTGCTTGAGTCAGGCAGGCCTAGTGAGGCATGAGCCAGGCCACTCGAGGTCAACACGGAAACGACGACGAGTCCTGCTGAGAGCGTAGGTAGAACCGGCGCAGCGTTTGTAGGTACGCTGCATTCGATTTACTAACCGCATGATTGCATGCTGACACGTTTTTCACCTAGTGGATTGGTTATATTGTCGAGAAGCTTGTTTATATCATCCTAATGTCTATCTGAACCATCTTCTATAAACAAGCATACCTTCCTTAGACTACTTTAATGCACTTCGATAACATATTCGCGATTGTGGCATTTTCTTAACTATATATTCCGACGTCTTGAACTTAACGCGGATTTGTTCCTAACCGATTTCGTTCATATGCTCATTTAGTGAAGAGTTATATCACCGTATCGGTAGGCAGTATTCGATTTAATTTATTTGCTCTTGTCGTTTCAAGTGATTGGCTGTTGCTTGATATCCCCGGTGTGGCTGCTTTTGATGTACAGGTTGACAAGCTACCTACCTGTCTGTTACCCACTACCTCGTACATACTGCCTACAGGAGACAATTGGTCGTTGTTGGCGGGGGGGGGGGTCGGAGTCCTTGTGGTCGTGCTATGCTCAGAGTGGTTCCATGCACTCAGTGTGGAGCCACCGCATTGTGTGCGATTGATTCCCAAACACAGTGTTCTTGTGTTTATCTTTGAAGGAGTGCGAGCCGGCTGCGTTGATGGAACGTGGTTTCCATCCCCGTGCATCCTGGACTTAATTCTTCGGGTTTACACTGGATATGGGGTGTGTGGTTGTAGCTGTCCATGATGTAACACAAGCCACGCAAGGTCCCTCTGTAGGCGCATGTGTCCTGTGGCTGTCCCCATGGAGGCTGCAGTGACAGACATCTCCTAAACCGGATGCCGCCAACCATCTCTACTAAATCACCATGTCACACACCATTTTATTTGTACTTTCATTATTTGCGCTTTCTCTCTTCATTACGGCCATCCTACGGGAGATGTCAGGCGCTATCTACTTAGCTCGTTATATACTTTTGTACTGCCATCTGCAATTGTGGACCACTTGTTCACAGGCCGTTAGGTAGGAAATTGTGTGTTATCTACCTCGTAGAATTGTGGGCTTTGCAGGTACAACTACTGTAGGAAGAAACTGAGGTGTTGCTCGACTATATACTGTGTCGGCCAAGTACCTTTGATAGAGAAGAGGTGGTGTAATGGACAGACAAAAAGGCCGAGCAACGATGGAGTGGCTCCCACGTGTGAACATACCACTAAACTGGGTACGGGATGTGAATTCAGTTGGTGCGCAACCAATTGCGTGTCAGCTGCCCTTACGATCGGTCTGCACCAGTCCGCCTATGCATATGTGCACAGATGAGTCGGTGCAAATTGCCGATAGCCCGATCGCAGTATGTTATTTAATTCAGGTACCCACAAGTCGGTGTACTTGATCTACTATGAGGGTAACCGACGCCTACTGCAACAAAGCAGGGTCTACTCGCCCTGTAACAAAATTGCCACAGTCGTATTTCGACACTAGCCATCTTAGTAGACCGCCGCTCAAGACGGCTCTCTATAACCCAAGGCGGCCACCTTCCAACCTGTATTTCAGTTGCGTATGTCCCTATTGTCGCGTTACTCGCAAGCCCGTCACACCGCCCCCGTCAACCGCAGCCATGCACCTCTGAGAGCGCACAGTTGAATGTCCGAGTGTTGTTAGATGGTCCAAAACCTTGGGGTGCGCCAGTGCCAAACGAGCCATGAGATCACTAATGGGGTTTCGTATTACCTTGTTCGCAGCCCCCAACCCAAACTTGTGCCTTTCTCAACGGATGATTTACTTACGTGTTGGTCCACTCACACGCACTGAATCCTCCAATCAGTCGCACCACGTGTTTGGACGACTTTTTTTCCCTAAGCTGCCTGGAACTTGCTTCAGATTAGGCACCATTTCTGCATGGGAGCTGGAGCGCCCACGCGTCTCCATCACCCACTACCAACTGATACAACTACCGTCATTGGCTACGTCTGAGTAGATGAATCCCAAGGTCACTGCGCTTGCTTGGTGCGTGGAAATGATACTGGATGCAATTAAAATGCGTTAAACATGATGTTCATTTGGTTTGAGACTGCAAATCTGAGCCTTAGGGAGCTATTCAATGACACTCTGGATGTAATCCATTTGAAAATGTTGCAGTTACCTATAGTAGGCGCCCAAATGAGCCGACCACAAGTACTGTGTGAAACATTCGTAATAAACGAGACGAAATGGCTTATATCTATTTGCTTACAGCGGTCGTATTCTACCTTGCTGTTGTTCTCACCGCGTTGTTGGATATTTACAGCTGCGACAGACTACTCTCGCTTCCGAAATCAGCTGTGAAAGTGACTGCAAACTATCACAGGACTTCGTCGTTTGCAGGGAGACCTTTCGAGGATGGAGTTGCACCACCCACTTATTCGGTGCGCACACTTAATGCCCAGTGTGAATTAAGAGTGCTACGGCCAGTGAGTGTGCGACGGAAGTTACGATTGAAGTGGTGCCGGACCCCTACCTTCAGACATTAGCAATCCAGGAATATGTGGGCCGTGTGGCGGCACTCCATGATAAGACAATCTGGGGCGAAGTGCATCGTTCTGCCCTGTTTGAGGGCTGGTAAACTGGCTATCGGCTATTTGACGGTACGGACTCGATGTCGCTGGTCCATCGGATGCGCATCAATCTTATGGAAAGTGTCGTCTGGGCTGCACCTAGTCCCATGACAGGACTAGGCATTGAGCCTACGACTGTCTAGCAGACCATGTCTTTCGTTTTCCCCAAGGAAGATTAGCGGCTAACCGCTATGTACTCGAAGCTGTGATATAGGCGTATTTGCTATGCCATCGGTGTTCGCAACACGAACAAACAATCCTGCTAACTCATGTGGGAAGAACACGAAGTGTGCGCAAACGCACGCTCTCGAGTACGTAATGCATACAACGGCGGATTAAGAGTAGCATTGAAAGTAGGATTATCGATTCAACGGTTGAACATTTTCCTAGCATTTAATACCACTGCTTAGCATGCTTCTGGGCAGGATCGATTAATCGACTATGTCGATGATGATCCACTAGCCCACAGTTTCAGAATCTTCCTACACAGATCTATCTTACTTAGGCTTAGCTACACGCGTGAGCAGTATTTTCAGGCGTTTGCAGAAATGCAGCGTAATGTCCAACCGGGACTCTTCTAAATGCACCATCGCCAACAACAGCGTCTGGCCGCATTAGAAAGGTAACCGGATGTGTTCTTCGGTCAAGACCTCCCGAACCGCCCTTGAGAATCCTGCTATGTGCAACTTTCTTACGTTTCTCGTACTCTTCACACTTTGTCGTAGAGGCGATCCAGGACTACCTGTGACGGAGGTTTCCCTAATCGCTTCAGATGTCTGATATGTAATCCGCTTATTACCACGTTCTAAACGGCTATTCTGTCCCCTACTCAGTGTACCGGACCATAAATGGAATATAGATAACGCGATTCCTGTATGGATGTGTTTTGGATGACCTTATCTGCACATGTGAACAACCACGTGTTTGGTTACTTTCGGGGACTTGTTGGTAGAAATTGCCCCAACTTTTCCGAGGGGTTTGATTTGCTCAGTTTCCCGACTACCTTGCTTTTCTTGATGGAACGGCAACATAACACATTAGTAGCGAATAAGGAGAAGATAGGTAGCTAATTACGGACTATGGAGGAAAACGTAGAATAGGATAAGCATTATAAAGGCTAGCGGAAACTGACAACCCCTGAGGATACGTGATTTGTCATATTTAGTAAACGTTCAAATTTATCACATAATGAACACACATAGTGAGAATAAACTCTTAGAGCAAAAGGATGATATGACGCAGAAGCATTGCGGTTAAATATTTCCAATGTTTTGGAGCTACATAATCAATCTTTTTCTTGACTAGGCTGTAATTACATTAATACTGCTGGTTGATTTAAAGGTATCAGTTCTGTAGATGCGTGTTGATACGCAACGCCATTTTGGACCTGGCTTTACTCCGAACTGAACCTTAGAGAACTCAGTCACTGAAGCAGCTATGTAGTGCCCATGAGTTCCATCCTGGAAGATATAATTAAGCCGTAGAGAGTCCTGCTGCACATGCTGAAGAGCAACAGAAGTACAGTATGTCATAGGTCACAAGTAGACAGAAACTAAGCAACAGAATATGTGTACTAGACTTCCTTCTTCGAGGGAATCATCCTTTCTCTATTTTCACCAAGTTCCAGGCCTCTTTTAACTTCAAGTACTGGCTGTAATGAAGAGGTAGGGATGGGAATTTGTTTGCTTTGAATGGGGCAAAGTGGTAGGCCATAAAAGTTATTAGACTGGCCTGACTATCATATTTCTGTGCTGGGCTTAAAACTTTCATTCACTACACGTACCTTTTATGCGCAGTGCAAGCGAGAAATTCGACCAAGTCTTTCCGACCAACCTCGTCGTCCTCAATACCGGAGAAATCAGCTGGATTCCTCCGGGTCTTTTTCACTCCATTTGCACAGTCAAAGTGAACTGGTTCCCCTTCGATTCGCAGGTGAGCTGAACATTTTACAACGCAGCTTGTCAACCGGTAAGTTGAAGGAATTAAGACCGACTGTCGCTGCAGAGCAATGAAGTCGTGTTCAACGCTGGTGTGATAGAATCGTTCTGTCTTCAGTACACCAAGTTAATTGATTGTTCAACGGGTAGTAGACATCACATTGGGCATCTGAGCTATTTTCCATTGGTTTTGCATTCTAAGGAGTAGGTCACACTGAGTAATTGACAGGCACGTAACCGTTAAAACCAACCAGAGCAATGAAACGTGTAAATGGGAAAGGCCAATAAGGACCGAACAATTAAAAGAACCAATCGGATGCACACAGCGTAATGAAAAAGACTGTGCTAGCGTCAGATTGGAACTGTGATCCAGAAGCAAAAAGGGGTCTGGAGAGTCAATGAATTCAACAAAATAAATTAAAATAAGCGTCAAGGGATGAACACAACGAGATGCGCGTCTCTAGCTATTGGTGTTTGCGAAAGCACAGCTTTCACATTGTTGTGTGATAAGATTTTAAGGCAAGTCTGTGACAACCTCCGACATCCTGCTTTCTTGCGATCAACTTGTTTAGAGATTGCTGATTCAGGTGGTTGAACAGGGTTTGCAACATACTGGCCGGGATCCTATGAGGAACGCGTGGGGATCAAACTGATTTCTTCGTCTCACCAAGGTGAATGGAGCAACACTGTGGTTATGCTGAATACTCAGAAGAGTTGAACTGATGCGCTTCTATCTTTAGGAGCATCTGTAAAGTGTACTGCTATAGAGATTTAGAGAAAGTCAAAAATTACACCACTGCTGTGTATTGTATGATAGTTATTTGGAATGGCGAATTTTGACTGCAGCTCACCGAGCACGACAGTTACCAGCATTAGCAACTTAGTGAAATGGGAGGTAAGAAGTTATGAAAAAGACAAGCAATCGAAATGGCACAAAAGTGATGTTGGGCATCGTGGAAAATACAACAATTACTCAACTAAGCCTGCGGTAGGCTATTTATAACTTGGCTAGTGTAAGGTAAAAGCGAAAGGCTTCCTACCAAATTAATCATTTCTGTACACAGTAAAATTGGATGAGCAAATAGGTTCAGCTTCAGCGGTCGAAGCATTTGTCTATGAGCTCTCAGAATTGTGCTAATGAGAGAAGATCGGCATATAACGGACAGATATTTGAATAGCTGTTCTCCATGCGGACAAGCGCATTTCTTGGTTGTTCCATCTTATGTGGTTAATGCTTTTTAAGTGGATGCCCCGTATGTGGTGACCTTGAAAATTCCTAGAGTAATTGCAACTTGCCTTACAAAATAACGCCAACTAGTAGTCCCAGTCAGTACCCAGACATTTTAAGCTGATCGTTTATTCGAGCGTCCATCGCATTTGTTTTAGTCAACTACGCGATTTCATGCATCTCGAAGGTTACCGAAGTGTCACGCTGCTCTCACGCGGTTGCGTTTGTGTTAACTCTGGTTGTTTGAGATCGTTTGAAAACGGCTAAACAACCTTTTGGTTTATCATTCGTTGACAACGAGGCTATACCCATTATTTTTCCCCTCTACGATCCTTCCATTTGTAGATTAAAAGAAACAGTGATGCAAAACCACCTTTCATTGCACCATTCACTTATGACCTGAAATTCACTGAGAGTCAGGCATGTAAGTTAGTTAGTTACTATTGGCACAGGAAGCATCGAGATTACCGGCCACGGTCAGCCACCGCATCACGTGCCCGGACGGTCTCGGGGCAGCAAACGCGCGTACATCTGAGCTGGATCAGCCCAATCCCGCGAGGCAGTGAGCGCATAGGTGGAACTACATAGTCTTGAGCTCACTGTGTGCAAACCTGCGCGTGAGATCCGCGTTGAACTGTACCATATGAGCAGATTGTCGTTTCGTGCTAAATGGATCTTAGGTCGAGACTCAGTTTGATCTGTGAAATATCGTCCAACTCATTGTATAATGCGATTTGTCCAGTTGAACGGAAGGCATTACAAAGGAAGCAGCCCGTTGGTTTATGTTGTGAAAATAAAGGTAGAAAAAGCATTTTGACCGACATGGCGGTGAATTCGCAATCTTTCCCACTTTTTTGCAGAGCTGCGCTTTAAAATTTGGAACCTGGACTTATCAAGGTAACACGGTGGACTTAAAGCTTCAATGTGACAACGACACCGGTGAACTGCAGGAATGTAACTTCCACAACGACGTGGATCTTTCTGCTTATCTAGCACACAGTGAATGGGCTTTGGAGAGTGAGTTCCTTCTGGTGTATAATCGTCAGCACTGTAGTTTACTGAGAGGAACGAATTCACGGTTATCAGCCAATTATGCTTGATGTCGTCATGGGCCATTAATCCCAAACTAGAATACCATATGGAGAGTGATGTTCCAGGAATGACGACAAACAGAAGAATGGGAGGGGCTTGATTCCGGTGTATAGAAATACAAAATAATCTTCACAACATATGGACTAGAAATCAAGATGAACCAGCCGGCGGCGGGCGGCGTGCATAAGACAGTAGTGCCACCAGCACCCAGTAAAGGAGCCTCATATGGAATAGGAGGGAACACAAAGTAGTGATCTTAACAAATCGTTATTATACACTTGGTTATCGTCGTTATGTTTCTTTTTAATTGCTGAAATGACAGCCCGCTGGGTGGGGGGCTAACATACTAAAAGGGAAGGCGGGTGACAAATTTGGAAGGAAGTAGGCGTGTCCAACTAGAAATAAACTTCCAGGCTTTATGAGTAGTGCCAACGAACAGTGAGGTCACCAGATCAGGTGAGTTACATAGCGTCTATATATAACTGGTCGTTGATGAAACGTGGCTACCGTCCACATGATTCCCTGTCTTAGTGCTTCCGGTTTACACTGGATATAGGGTATGTGACTGGCACTGTGGGTGATGTAGTGCAAGCCACCCATGGTTCCTCTGTAGGTGCAGGCCTCATGTTGCTGACCACAGTGACAGGCAAATCCGGAACCGGATGTCGCCAACCATATATAACCGATGGGTCTTTAACTGAAAATCTACCAGGCAGTTATCTCGAGAATCCGAAAAAGTATAAGATAATATGTGTTGCACATACACAGGGTACCATTATTTAGAGGATCCGATCAGAATTTGACCCAATAGATACACACCATAGTACAGCCAAAAGTTGTATAACATGGTATAACAAACAAATCTATGTCAGTCGTTTCGGAGTATTCATAATGGAGTATTTACTAATGAAGATAAGGATTGTGATAAGATGGGTCAAATCTGAAAGAATGTAAGGAGTACGCAGAGACTGTCAAATGTGAAAGGACAGTCACACAGTACGCTGCACGCAGTTGCAACTGTCGTTAAAACAGCGACCCATGGAAGATTCGATCATAGTAAGGTGTAAAAGACAGCTAGATTAATGATTGCCTTGCAATTTCTCACTTTATTCTGCCTGGAATTCACTGTTTTTTTGATTTTTACGAACTGTACATGCCATTGTTATCCATAGTTTTTGATGGCTTCTTGTCGATCTGCAGCCTACTATGTATATGGTCCCTCTGGATGCGCAGGGGACCTGTGGCTGTTCCCATGGAGGCCGCAGTGACAGGCAAATCCGGAACCGGATGCCGTCAACCATATCATTGCACTGAAAATTTTGGACCGGCAGGGACTGCCTACTTAGAACACCTGACATTATAGCCCTCAGTACTGCGTTGAGTTGGATGCAATATGTGAACTAGAGAAAGTGACACCGATGTATACTGAGCACTTTTGAAAAGGATCTTCACGTTCGGACAACCCTTGCTTCATCCTGTGAACGGGTTGAAAGTCCCATCAACAATCTTCAGCAGAATAGATAGAAAACAGTGTACATTTCTTCACTCAGGAAGGTCGATCACATCAGCAGTGTTAGAGAAGCAACGAATGAGTGGAAACATGAAACAAACGCAATATGTAATATTATAGTCCATATATCGAAACTAGGATAACCGTTGACCTAGGAGTTAGCTAATGCAAACGAGGATATAATATGGTTCAAGAGTAGGAGTAGTAACGTTTAGTAATTTGCTATCAGTTAAAAAATGCTACCGTGTGACAATAACACAGTTTCGTTATATTTCGTGTGTGCAAAGGGACATTATTGAACGGCGAGTCCGGGATACACCCGTTTGGTACAGGAGTCTTAAGTAAAAGGCTAGTGTTTTCGCTGCACCTATAGGTGAAGCCCGGTTGATCGATGACTGGTTTATCCCCTCCGCAAATGTCTTGACCGGGTGAAGATCTGTATTACGGAAACTAAAGTTAACAAAATATGAAAGAGATCTTGATCCGCTTTAAAGGTGCAAGTGACTTTGGACTGCCTTTTGGATTCACAAATACTTTCATTGCATTTAATAACAAACTGCAGAGTGATTAAGACTTTGAACCTTACAGTGAGTGCTACGATAGAATTTACAATTAGCAATCATTCAGGATAACATCAACCACCTCATCTGTCTCTGGGATTCATAGTTATGTGCTAGAAGAACCACTGCGCCTGAAGTTCCAGGAAATATCTATCAGATTGGAGGCGTCTTCGACCCTTTATTTCACATTCGTTTTCGTTTGCAAAGGAAAATCGTTTCATTAAACTCCACTTCACGGTGTATACCTCTAGTCCAGGGGTCTCCAAACCTTTCTCACGGCTGGCCGGATAACTGGAAAATTTGACTGGTACGGGCCGGATTACTGGGAAAATTACTAATGCAGGACGGATAACGAATAAAACTGTTAGCTTGAGCCGCGGAATCATTATGCCAAATACTTAGATCAAAAATGAAAATTCTTGGAAAGTATGACAACAAAAATGCGATACACTGTGTCACCTTTTCTTCTCTCCATATCTTTAGTACAGGCTGAACTATATGAAGCTAGACAGGAAACAAGATAAAGAATGACAAATACGATACAAATTCCACTGGAACTTTGGAAATATGGAGACATACATCTAGCAATTCCCAGCACGTGTAGACCTCGACAATTCGCGCTTCCTACTTAATTCCGTACTATCAACGTGCAATTCGCTCCAATTAGGGATCCAAAATGACACATGCATAAAGTAGGGATGTTTTCTATGACGTTTGCTTCAAGTGAGCGGACCAATGCAAATAGTGTGGCACAAAGGTGTGCGATAAACAGAAACACCGTAGGGTATAAGAATGAATGGGTTTCATGCGGGATCACCTAAATCAATGTTCCGATCTTAGTACGGTCTCACACGTAACCCTCCTAAGATGTCTCACGCTAGTGTTCTAACAGTATAAGGTTACTGACAATGCAGCATGTAGTGTCAGTAGTAAATCCTGTCATGGTGTTACGTGTTCCCTACAGTTTATCAAGCCAATTCGGGTGCAGCCAGCGGGCCGGATTCTGCCAGCGGGCCGTAGTTTGGTGACCCCCTACTAAAGTCCTTTCAAGTAACCCATGGATTAGAGTACCTTTTGAACACAATCAATGCTGCCAGCTGAGTAGAGTGGACAGATATGCCTGTTTTGGCTTATGCGATAAAAAGTTTGCTGAAAAGTTGGTGCAGTGCTGAGTCAACTGCAATGGTGTGCTTCTGTCGTATTTCCTTCCCAGGTGCCACCATCAAACGAAACGTCGACAGTTACGGCACAACAAATCAAAAGTATATCGACGTGACAATTTATGTGCACATACAACGCAGAGCTTTGTACTACATGTTCAATATTATCGTTCCGTGTATGATCATGTCTGTGATGTCTTTGCTGGTGTTTACTCTGCCACCGGACGCCAACGAGAAGATTGTTCTGGGTGAGTCGCGAGTTGTGCTTATGGTCATTCGCGCAACGAACGTTTCAAAATTATGTCTTATCTATTTCCACAGGACAACCGTTTTAGCGTTTAAATTGTAATGACTAGGTTTCGCTTAAGACCAATGACATAAGCAAAGCGCAATAATTTCAGGTATATCTACTTGGCATGGCATCATACGCGATTTGCAGTCTCCACAGCGTTTTGGCTCTGTTGGTAGCCAAAAGGCTGTTACGGCTTACCTCCTTCATCGTACCTAAGTGAAATAGACAGCTTTGACACAAGGATGATAATGTGGCCAGAGACGTTTATTATGCTGTAGTTCTACGGGTTTGCATTACTGTCTAGTTGCAGTAAGGAGTGGCACAAATGATGTCGATCATGCAGTATCAATTAAGCTACTATCAGATCGCCTCGTAATCAGCAATACCGTCCGCTAAATATCCTCAATAGTTTCAGCCTCTAATCGGATGCTTATGATGCGTGGCAGTGAAAGACGCAAGGAAGCTGTCTCGCTGAAGGTATGTTGTTAACACAAGGTGTAGGCACCTTAACCCCGAAGTTTGTTTAGGGCCTTAAAGTTTTCAGGTAACTCCCACTTCTCTCCCTCTTATTTTTCTTTATTCCATAGGTCCTCGTGGTTGTATGGTAGTGAACCATCAGTTCAAATTGCTGATGTACTGCTGCTGCTGTTGCGCATTGATTGATTGGTCGTATGGGCGTTTGTGTATTCCAATGGTGTACATGGAAGCCTGATGCTGAGGCTTCGCCAATGCACGGAGGTCGCGTTTCAGCTATGGATGCCAGGCTTGTATTGCGTATTCGACATTGGAGAGAATATACGCACCGAGCACCCGTCAGAAAATAGAGATGTCTATCTGTCCGAATGACTATCACAGCAGCGCAACTTGTTGGTCTCAGCTTTCGGTACCTTTAAGGATTCCATGGAATAAATAAATAAATAAATAAATAAATTTGTATATTTACCGACGGACGGTACACGGCCCCATAAGTGGGAGCGATCATGTGTATAGTGAACACGTCTCATAACATCAAATAAAAGTTTACTAATAGCATTTCGGATCATGTTTACTTTTCCTTGAGTCCTAGACCCGCGCAACTCATATGTAAAATTTACGGATGTTTGTATCGTTAGGAGTAGATAATAAACGAAGGGACTATTAGGCTGCAAAGACACAGGATTTGGTATGGTATGTTATGATATGTAGTGGGTAAGCTAGCTGTAAGCTATTATCAAATGTTTTTTATACCAACTTCTGTCAGTGTTTCTAGTGTTTGCTGTGAGTCAAATATTTTCAGAGCATTTGGTATAGTGAGGAAGGTCTGAAGGAGATTTCGAAAGGTGACATGGCTTGTACACATGCGTATCTGTAGGGGTAGTTTGTTCCACAAATAAGTGTATCTCACTAAGAAGAAATTCGATCGAATTTTATGACTTGAAAGGTTTGTACGTATCAAGTAGCCGCCATTACGTGTGGGGTAGACTGCAGTCTTCCGCAGTTCAAGTGCGGTGCTGTCTGCGTAAATTCGTTTGTTTATAATGTTGTAGAAGAGAACGAGGTTGTTCTTTAAGCGTCTCAGCCAAAGTGGATCCAGCTGCAGTTTTCGACAGCGGTCATAATAAGTCAGGTTTGAGCAGCGTCCCATGAGCAGTTTGGTAAATGATCGTTGGACATTTTCTAGAGCCGTTCTGTCTTTCTTTCTCAATTGGCTGTGAAGGATAGTACAATACTCCAGAGTCGGTCGTACGATTGTCTTGAATGATTCAAGTCGTACTTCAGGTAGGGAGAAAGTTCTGGTGATATATCCGCATAGCTGCCTCGCTTTCGCAACCTGATAAAGAACATGTTCGGAGAAATTGAAAGAGTTGGAGTACCTAATTCCTAAGTCCCGAACTGACTCAGACGTTGGGATCACGTTTCCGGCAAGTATAATGGAGCCTTCTGGGATGCGGCATCTGTACCCAAGTACTTGGGATTTCACTGCGGAGAACTTCATTAATAAGCGCTCACTAGCTATATTTAGTGCGGATAGGTCTTCACAGATGTTTCTCAAACACATATGTAGTTGGTCCGGATGAAATGAGTAAACCAGTTTGACATCATCTGCAAACAGAAATGGATGTCCATGTTTGATTGGGTCACATATATTGTTTACATAGATTAAGAAAAGTAGCGGTCCGAGCACACTTCCCTGGAAGACACCGCTGGTTATTGGCTTCGGTGTAGAATGTTGCTGACCGATTTTAACGACCTGAGTTCGATCGTTCAGGTATGAGTCGAACCAGTTAAGCAGCGGATTTCCAATTCCAAATGACTCTAGAGCAGACAGCAGTGGCTGGTGTGGCACGCGGTCGAAAGCCTTTTGCATGTCCAACAGAATTATGATAATTGCCATTCCTCTGTCAATCATAGTCGTGATGTGATCGAGAAATTGTAGCTGGCATGTAACGCAGGAGCGTCTTGAGAGAAAGCCGTGCTGTGAAGGGTTGATCAGATCCAGTCTTGTTAGATATTGGACGATGTTCTTCTTGACTATTCGCTCTAGGGCTTTGGAAGCAGCAGAGGTGTGATTTATTGGGCGGTAGCTTGACATTTGATTTCTCGGTCCACCCTTGTGCTTAGGCATTATAATGGATTGCTTCCATTGAGCTGGAAAGCAACCGGTAGTGAGTGAAAGTGTGAAAATGTTTAGTAACAATAGTGCGAGGTTTTTTCCTCCGAGTTTTATAACAGTTGGGGAGATGCCATCTGGACCTGGATGAGTTGATGGTTTTATGGCTGCGATGGCACTTTGCACCTCTCTTAGGGTCACAGGGATATTGCAGTATGGTTCGGTCGTTCTTTTTGGAAGTGGAGGATGAAGTGGCTGAATGTTGGGGACAAAAGAGGAGGCAAAACTAGAGTTCATGGCCTCGCATATACAGGAGATATCGCGCGTTATTGAACCATCGTCTAGAACCAACGTTTCAATTTCCTGAAGTGGTTTAGGGTTTCTTCTTTTGAGTAGTTGCATCAATGCACGTACTTTCTCAGGATTTCTGAGTACCCGGCTTTCTTCTTTGGTTTTGACTGTTAGGGTTAGACGTTGTAAATATAGTAAGTTCTCGTGGATTTGTAGCAATGTTGCGAAGCTGTTGTTCCTGCTGTATAGCGATTTGAGTTTCTTTAGTTTTATTTTGGCTTTGGACAGAAGCTTGAGTTCACCCCTATGTTCATGGGTATTTCTCCTTACAGTAGGTGCTAGTAGATCCACAACAAAGGCAATGTTGTTTATAAACTCATTTGTAGCCACAGTAGGGTTGTGGGTTAGGAATGACGTATTCCAATTCATGGTACCGATAAGTTCATTAAATGCGTTCCAGTCCACACGATGGAGGTTACGAATGGGTTTTAGCATTTTACTTGGTCGTTTAGGTAAATCAATAGTCATATCACAAAACACCGTGTTGTGATCACAGCCAGGTAGTGGATTATCAATGAATGTATAAGCGTTCGCGATTCCCATCGTGAATACAAGGTCTAAGGTAGTAGCACTTCTAGTTGGCTCTTTAACATGCTGAGTCCAGCCATTGAAGTGGATACATGCGATAATTTCCTCAATCTCTGCCGTGTTTCTGAGTGTAGGCAGCGTCCAGTTAACATGTGGTAGGTTGAAATCTCCACACATAATTTTGGATTTGTATGTGGTGCTGGAAGCAACATTGATCATATCGATTAGCTTTTGGGTTGCAAATTGTGTAGTTCGGGGCGGCCGATAGATACAACCTACTAGAAGATCAATAGATGGGATCACTAGCCATAGTGTATCTTCTAAGTCAATGAACACAGGTTGATCTGCAGGAATGGCAGTCAGGTTATTTCGAAGATATATGGCACAGCCACCACCACGTTTGTGCGAGCGATCCTTGCGGAAAAGCTTATAGCCTAGGATGTTAAGCTGAGAATCACTAATTTCCGAGGTGCACCACGTTTCAGTGATAAAAACAATATCGGGGGATCTCATAAACATAAGTGTTGAAAGTATATCTAATTTAGGCAAAAGGGAACGTAGGTTAATGACAACAGCTTTGAAAGACATTGTTAACATGGACTGAAAGTGGTAGGTAATGTTTGTTTCATCGTCATTGTATCTGAGAATTGTGTGTTGTGAGGTAGCTGAGGCACACTGAGCTCCAGATCGTACTGGATTGAATGAAGTATATACTCTAGTAGTTTGATTAATCTCTGGTTCATAATCGCACGTGATAGGGGCAGGATTGGTGGGGGAGGAACTGGTGGTGTGCGATAGTCTAAAAAAGGACTGACATCCGTAGTATACAGGGGTGGGGGGATGCTGAAGTCGACGAACTCATTTTGCTTCGGTTTGTATTGTTGCCAATTGAGTAATACAGCGGGTGGTGGTGGGTGAATTTTGACTTGAGGTAGATAGGGGTTGCACCCTCTTAACTGTAAGTCCTTGTGGCCTACCAACTTTTTGTTTACTAATTCGGTGTCGCATACATAATGACTTTGCCAGCTTGAGGTCGCGGGATTTGGAAACGTAGTCAGAGGCATTGTGGGTAGGTACTGGGCCGGCTCTCTGCAACTTATCCCGATAACTGTGTCGGTTTTATATGTAGAGGCTTGAGGACGTATACTTTTTCTCAGTTGGCCTAGCTGCACATCCCTGCGCTCTGGTGGTGGTTGCTTCAGACTTAATGAGCTTTGAGTGTTTATGGGAGAAATTCTGGCAGGGCGCTTTCCCCTGTTTTTGCCTACGCCTCGGTTGGTCGGAGATAACCTATAGCTTAGTTCATTCGGGTCGGATTGAGATTTATTTTTCGGGCTGCAGACGTTACAGTCTGCTTTTTTGTCTCGCTCACGATAGGTCTCAGGTACAGTTACTGTAAACTGTTGTAAGGGCTCGCAGTTTGGAGAAGGGATAGGGGAGTTGAGTGTGTGGTCAGCAGGTGTCTTCGTCGTTGTATTTTCAGCTTG